GGGGTGGTGGCGGGGTAGGGTTTGGGGAGGGGGAGATTATGAGGTGGTGATTGGTGGTGGGGATAACCGGCGGCGGGTGTGGGGTATAATGGAAAGAGGGGATGATGAGAACCAAGAGCCACCAGCGGTGACTGTTGGGTACGACGGGTGGCCTCTCCTAGGCTCCACCAAGCTCTCAAACTCTCTCTCTCAAGCCTTCACAAAAGCTCCAAGAAGAAGAAGATGCAGGAAATTTTATTTCATTTATTCATTAACCATCACAAGTACAAGAAGAGGGCTATAAATAGCCTACTACAAAGACACAACATAAAAGACTAAAATACCCTCGAGGGGCTACAAGACTCAATCCCTCAAGCAAGGGTAAAAAGGGAAAAGTGCAGAAATAAAAATACATCAAAATAAAATGATCACACTAAAATCAGAAATATATCGGGTAGATCGTGGCTGTAGATCTACGGCCACGTTGACGGTAGACTTTCCAACTGATGTCCCCATCAGATCTTGAGAAGACATATGGAGTCCCATGAGGATTAATTTGGTATGCATTTAAAAAATAGGTCTATTAAAATTATGTTGAAGTTATTAAATATATGTACGAGAAAGTATCGATAAATGTTTGGGATAGTTGTAGAGTACAAAGAGTTCATATAAGATTTTATCAATGTTCAATATTGAATTTATATCTTTTATGTTAGTTTTGGAGATGCTTATAAATGATATTCAAAGTGAGATAACATAGTATATGCTAGTTGTAGATGATATAGCTATAATTGGTGACACCTCTGGTGAAATAAATGAACAATTAAAATTATTGAGAAAAATGTTTAAAATAAAGATATTAGGATTTATAGGAGAAAAAATGACTATTTAAGATGAAATTTTAGTAGTAGGGGGAGATTGTTGATTAGTAGTAAATATTTATAGAATATCAAGTGATACTTTGGTGATGTGGTTTAAATATCATTGTTGGGTTTTATCATAAAAAATACTAGGAAATTGACGAGGATATAACTTTTTAAAATTAATGTTTGGTGGTTAAAATGTCTAAATATAACATGATTATTATGATATGAGAGGATATCATTGATACTTGGAAGTATAAATTATAAAATTACAATCAGAATAGTTATGTTTTATAGATCCAAATATTAGGTTGATATAGAAGTCATTGATTGTTAAGTTGAGTTTTGCAGAAAGGAGAATGTTGAATGTTTGGCAAAATTATGAAAGAAAATTTTCAAAAGATTATTAGAAGATATGGGAATAGCACTTAAAAAATAACATAGTGAAAAATAGACCTAGGTGGTTTTATATGCACAATTGATGGTAGAGTATACATCAATAAGATTGATTGCTGAAGAATTAAGATGAAAAATATGTAGATCAATGGTGACATTAATAAAAGTTTTTTAAAATCTTTGCATAAACTTGAGTTGAAAACCTTACGTGGAAATCAAGAATAATAAATGGGAAATGTGAATTCATATTAGCCAAGCCCAATGAGGATGGTGATGATCCTTATCAATGTAAACATGCCTACAATAGTGCATTAAAAATAAAGGGATAAATATCTAAAGTGAGTGAAACTTGTACTTGATTTGAGGTTGTGCTTGATGACTCAATTATGCATAGTGAAAGGTAAGCTTGATTGCTTTAGAGAGAAGTTGGAACATGGGTTCAATACCATGATTGTACTATGTTTTTGGGAGTGGTTTATTTAAAAGTGCAAAAACATGAGATTTTAAGTGAGTCTTTTACAATTGTAGTTTGGGCTTGAATAATTAATGGAACTAATTATCATTTTTTAGTTTTTATCCCATATGATAACTTATGTTGTTCTTGTTAGATATATGCCAAAATACTTCTATCATAATGATTGAGCCACTAAAAAGCACTACTTCTTGTATACGAGAGAAATATTACCTTAATGCAGGACAACTTTATGCTCTGGGAAATATACAAACCAACTACTTTTCCTCAAACTAAACATAATACACCTACCTTTAAAGGGGAAAAGGAGATCATTTTCAATGTACCTTAAGGTTTACTAAGATTTTATATCATGTCAATATGACCAAGTCAATCATGCTTATGAGCTTTTAAGGCATTGCATATCATGGCATGCCTTTTTATCTACAACCAACCATTGCATACCTATGAGCCTAAATTACTATCCTACACGCCTTTGAGTTCGTTCGACCTAAGACTTGAGTTCTATTTGTCCTTGCTTATGAGCCTTTCAATCACTTGGTCTGTCTAATATGGCATTGCCTTTATAAGCCATGGTTTTCCACATAATAGGACCTTTTGGCATATTTTCCAATCCCATCTTATTGGTGACTATCTTAAATGGGGAAATTCATAGCTATGGGGAACCTAATGTTAAAAATAAAGTTTAAATTAAATGCTAAATTCTAATATTCATAGCAAGCTCCTATATGGTGGAACCATAGGATCTAAATAGGCTCCCCTATTTTTTTCCAACATTAGGCAACATTCTAAGATGGGACTTTTGGAAGCCATTCAAGTAGTGAGGGTAAAGTCATTCAATTTTTGTTGTTGCAACATTTAAAGCCTAGCTGCTTCCTCTTCAATCTTTGAAATATGTTTTATCAACTTCAATCTACCTCTCAAAGAAAAAAAAGTTTCTTGGCCTCAATAAAGAAATGGAACCTCTTCAAAGCCCACATGAAACATCAACCCCCAATGTGCATGCGTGATTGTGTGTGTGTGCGCGGTGTGTGTGTATATATATATACATACATATATATACATACATTCACATGTGAAAAAAAAATAATGATTATATTAAGCAAAGAGAAAAAGAGAGAATACTTATCCATAAGTTAAAATATGTTGATAGAATAGTTAAAATTTGAGAATGTGTGGTATTCTTCGTATGAAACTTACTAATAATTTGAGCAAACACAATGAGAATGACACCCAACTAATGTGACGAGCAAATTTGGTTTGAAATGCCTCAATCATGATTGAAATCACTCAAATTTTGGTCGTTTGCAAAATGTTGAATAACGACCTGGAGTATCAAATTCTCCAAAGAAAAAAAAAAAGAAAAGAGGAATTTTATGGTAATGAGCACATATTTTTAAAAATTATTATGATTATTACTATTATTATAAACTTTATTAAAAAATGAAATCACAAATCAAAATCAAATCCCTGCCACTTTCCTGAAATATTGCATGTCACACCCTTATCCTCTTATCACACGTGATGTCTTGCCCTCCCAATTACTACATGCTCCAGCTTCAACTTTCCAAAAGCTCTTTTTATTATTTTTCCCTGTAAACAAAAGGATCATTCATCATAGGATAGTCCAACAAATCAAAAGATGATCTATTTATGGAAAAGTTCATCCACTTACCTCTACAGAATGTGAAGTAGCCAATCTCTAAACGTGAACGGCCCTAGTTTGCCCAATGCAGTAGCATCTGTCCATTGTCTGCAAATCCATCTGAGGATTCTGCATGCCATACAATCCAAAACAAATTTAAGTGCTAAGAATCATAGGAGATTTATACAAGTAAATTAATATTTCGGGAAAGCAGAATAGATATTTACCCAATCACTGTCATATATAATACACGTATCAGCAGCAGTGAGATTAATCCCCAAACCAACCGCCCTACTGCTGAGAAGGAATATATTAGAATTGCTCTTTAAGTTGTTAAATTCTTCTATCTGTTTTGGAAGGAAGAGCAAATAAAAATAAGATAAAAGTATAAGTCAGCCTTAATTAGAAGGATGAATAATATAATAAGCAAGGAATTGATATGTCTTATAATTATAATACTAATAATAGCAAAAGAAAAGTCCAGCCGAACATCTTATGCTCAGTTCTTGCACACCTTCCCACATTCCTCTCTCATTCTCCTGTGTGTAGGTCTCCCTGTTCGTAGTTTCTTGCACCAAGACCCCCAATGATCCCTCTTCTCATGCAAGCTTCCACCTTGAACCCTCCCAACGCCATTGATTGGCCCGTTGCCTGCCTTCTCTTCTCTCCTAATCGCAGCCATCATCGACTAGCTTGTTCTCAGCCTTCTCCTCTCTCCTAGTCGTAACCATCGCCGCCGATTTTTTTTGTCCTCAGTCTACATCCTTGTCTCACAACCGATTGGCCACCACCCATTCTCTCACTTTCTTTTTCTCTCTCTCTCCCAATCTTACTCTACTTTCTCTTTCTATCTCTAATAATCTCTCCCTTTTCTCTATCTCTTTCACTCTCCTTTTATCGTTCTCTCTGAGGGAAAATTCTATAAGATGGTGGTGAGGCCTGCAATGCTTTATGGTGATGAATGTTGGCCATTAAAAGAGAAGCATAATACTAAGTTAAGTGTAGCAGAGATGAGGATGCTCAGGTGGATGAGTGGCTTTACCCTTAGAGATAGGATACAAAATGAGCATATACGTGAAAAGGTTGGAGTAGCTCCAATAGAAGATAAGATTAGAGAGAGTCGCCTTAGATGGTTTGCTCACATAAAACGGAGGCTTTCCAATGACGCGGTTAGGAGAGTATAGGTATTAGATTTGACTTATATTAAGAAAGGTAGAGGCAGACCTAAAAAGACTTGGTTAAAAAATATTAGGAATGACCTTTCTTTATTAGATTTAAACAAGAATTTGATCTTTAAAAGGACACAATGGAGAAAAATGATTCATGTAGCTGACTCCACGTAGTGGGAAAAGACTTGATGTTGTTGTTGTTGTTTTTCTTTTGATCATCTTCTCTTGAAATGCTAAAACTTCTGAAGGAAGGTTATTTGATCTGGGTATAACTTTTTCTGATACATCATTCTTTTGGCTTCATTTGGCCCAAAGTTTAATTGTCCATTTCAAGTAGAGTTTGATTTTGTGCCGACAGTTCATGAACTTAGATGGACCTTAATTTTCTCTGTATTTTAGTTTATTAGATGTTTCATACTCTCTGTTTCTTTTGATCAACTGTTTTTGTATTAATTATTTTTTTATACATGATACAGAGAGAGGAGAACTGCTTTGATTAGGGAAGCAATACACATTAGATACTCATTGTTACCATATTACTATTCACTATTTAGAGAGGCTAGTGTTAGCGGTATCCCCATAATGCGGCCTTTATGGCTTGAATTCCCCGAGGATAAAAAATCATTTGACAATAGTGAGGCTTTTATGATTGGTGAAGGTATACTAGTTCAGGGGATATATGAAGAGGTAATTTATATTCTTATTCTGATTTCATATCATTGTAGTATGTAACACATACTTTAATGCTTAAAATGTTCCTCAGGGCCAAAAATCTGTGTCAGTTTATTTGCCCGGTGAACAATCTTGGTATAACATGAGAAATGGAGCTGCATATTCTGGAGGTCAGACCCACAAACTAGAAGTTTTTGAAGACAGCATACCCAGTTTCCAGAGGGCAGGCTCCATTGTCCCTAGAAAATACAGATTCAGACGAAGTACAACACAAATGGCAAATGATCCCTATACTCTGGTATGCTTTTCATCACGTTATGGTTTGGATAGATAATTTTTTTTTCCAACTTGCATCCATGATTAGCACTTTAATTTCAATGAGATTGATGTGCCTAGTGGGCTTGGTTTCAGGAACGAGAAGCTTATCAATCTATAATCCTGTGCTATTTTCTTTTTAGCTTTGAAATATTTCGATCTTCTATTTATTTTTCTTAACAAAACAAAAAAATTTCAAAATAGGTATTTTCTTCCTATATTTGTATTAGAACATGTATTATTTTGAAATATTTAGATTTTCTATATATATTATAGCTTGCAATCAAGAAGCATTTCAACGGATTATTATCCAAAATTACTAGGCATTTGCTTGCAGTTTGTCTGGGCTAAGTTTTGACTTAGCGATGGGATATCAAAAACTTGGCCGTACTATTGATAGGAAGATCACTTTGGATTCTGTAAGCTATTTATTGTTGTTTTGGATGGAAAAGAGACGTTATTTTCGTTGCTATCGTTGCTGGCTTCTTTCTGTCTATGAAAAATGTTCATATTCCTTGATCTGGTTTTGTGGTCTTGATCCATGTGTCTGATTGTTGATCAGGTGATTGCACTTAATAGTTCTCTAGCTGCTGAAGGCGAGCTTTACATAGACGATGGCAAGAGCTATGACTTCGAGCAGGGCGCATACATCCATCGTCGCTTTGTCTTCTCTAATGGCAAGTTAACCTCATCTACTATTCATTCTGCCTCTCTGCGTGAGAAAAAATTCTCGTCAAGCTGCACTGTGGAGCGGATCATTCTTCTTGGCTTACCATCAGCTCCAAAAAAAGCTGTGATCGAACCTGGGAATCACGAAACCGAGATTGAGCCAGGCCCGCTAACACTTAGAGGAGGTGCGAGCTCAGTCGCTCTCGTGATCCGAAAGCCTAACGTTCGCATCGCTGATGACTGGACCATCAAAGTCTTGTAGTTACTGCTAGCGGTTTACACGGGACTGCTTCAGGTTTTAGTTAGTTTGGAGTCACCTTCGACGGAATTGAGCGGTATGTTTCTAATTATCTTTTTACGGTTAATCCTATCATTTCTGCCATACCTGCATGCAGACAGTTTTGTTTTGATATGTTTCTGCTTTGTTTAGTTAATAAGTGTTTGGTTTCCTTGTTAGAGCCAAGAACTGTGAGTCTAGCTAGCATATAATCATGGGAACAATGGCAAAAAGTTGGGTAATGGTGATCTTTATCAAATTTTTATTCAGGATGAATTTCAAAATTATTGAGTTTTTTAAAAAAAAATGTGATATAATTTTTTTTGATAGGTTGCATTCATCTCAAAATAAATTCAGTAGCTTTATAATTATTTTGGATTAAAATTTGATTTAAATTTATTAGCTTAATTTTTTTTGCTGGAAACAGTAAGTTTCAGGTGCAAGTTTCAGGTTAGTTTTTGCCTGTTTGGTTTCATGATTCCAAATCTATTTTGCATCCCTGCCAAGTCACGGTATCCTTTAAATGGTAATATTAAGGCTTCGTTTGGGACGGCTTTTTTATTGCTTCATAAAGCAGGTTTCCAGTATAAAAATTTAGAAAGCTTCTTTAAGAATCAATAAGAAAGCCGTTCCAAACGAAGACTAAAGCAGCTTTTTAGAAAGCCTTTATTTGGGACGGCTTTTTACTGCTTCTTAAAGCAGCTTTTTAGTACACACATTTTAATTTTTGTACTAAAAAGATCATTTAAGAAGTATTAAGAAAGCCGTCCCAAACGAAGCCTAAGACACCAAACCGTTACCTGTACTCTTTTCTTTTCTTTTTTTTTGGACATTTAGGCTAATTAAAATAAACTCACACACACATTACATACGCAAGACTCAAACCCAAGACCTCTTAGTTTGTAGCCAAAACTCCCAACCAATAAAAACCAAGGTGCACTGCATTACTGTCTTCTATAGTTCTTAAATAATCTTTATGTTCTATTAATTAAGATAATTATAAACATTGTTTTATGAAGCAATAAACACTCATTTCATATCGCGTAATTTCTTTTCTTATAATTCAAAAGATTTCGAATTGTTAGACTTTTAATCACCTATTTTGATATTGTTGGGATGCTTTAAGGTTTTTCTTTTTTTTTTTTCTTTTTTTTTTTGAATTTCTGAGCAAAATAAAAATAAACTCATACACATATGGCATACTAGTTTTGAACTTAATATCAATTAGTTGGTAGCCTAAGTTCTCAATAAACAGATCAAGATGAGCTACATTATGATTCATATGTACATATTATGTGATATTAACTGAGATGATATTTATAGGATTTTTAATAAACATTTTTCATAAAATTTGTGTACGTTATTTGGTCCTCCAGTTTGCTTTTCAAATCTCCCTCAAGAAAGCTGTCTTACCCCAATGCTCTCTCCTGCAGTTTGTTGAATAATTCCAGTTTTATATTTATCATTTTATGGTGCATGTCAAGAGTTCAAAAAAATTTATGCGTTTTAATTTCGTTTTTTATATTTATTATGAGAAAAAGGATATGCAAAATAATAAAAGTATATCTAATATATATATTGTTTTGATGTTAAAATAACATTAGAATATGTACATAAAAAGTATATTTTATGTATTTAATATTTATATATGATTTAAAGGTTTGAGTGTTATGACCATTGTTTTGAAAACCGGACCGGACCGGCCGGTTCGACCGGTTCAACCGTGAACCGGTCTTACAGCCGGTTCGGTCCTATCTAAGAACCGGCCTAACAACGAACCGGCCAAAACCGGCTTGA